AATTGACGATATGTATACATGCATGTTTTGAAAACATAATATAAAAACCAAGATGAACTTTTTTATAGATTTTTTACTAAAATTAATTAACAAAATTAGTATACAAAAAAAAATAAAATCTATAAAGTTTTTTTTCCAATAGAATAAAATTTATTGAAAAAGGTGAAAATATTTTTCAAATTACCTAGATTGCCTCTTATATTAATACAGTAAAACTGATTTCCGATATTTAACAGATTTACGAAATTTAAAAAATTAAAACGGCTTCAACCGATTGAAAAACAAATTGAACCAGAAGAAAAGGGGTCGATATCTTTGACAGGGGTATCTTTCTTTTTCTCCTGTCGTTGTAAACTCCAAGTAAGAGAAAATAATTTTTTAAGTTTTATATTGTTTAACGCTATCGAAACAAATTAAATATATTTCAAAAAAATTAATACCATTGAAATTTCCGTGATTTCATAAAAATAGGATATCAAATCATTTGCTTTTATGATTTTTTAAAAAATATTTATGTTCCGCATGAAGCTTTTGAGAAACATAATTGTTCGAAATATCTCAAAGGATATTACAATTTTTGAATAAATGACATATGATGATTCAATCGAATAAATTATATTAATTGTGAAATGATAATGAAATATAATATCATTAATTATAATAAAAACATATATTTTCTTTTCAAGGTTTACAAACATAACCAAGATGGGCAAAATAATGAAATCCGGAAAAGTTGTTCTCGTCCTTAGCGGCAGATACGCTGGACGTAAGGCAATAATCATGAAAACTTTTGATGATGGTACATCTGACAAGCAGTTTGGACAAGCTCTTGTTGCTGGAATCGACCGCTACCCTCGTCGTGTTACACGACGTATGAATAAAGCAAAGGTTCACAAGAATTGCAGAATCAAGCCATTTGTTAAGGTAATATAGACTTACTTACAAATATTTTCGGATTCAACATAAAATTTATCTTTTAGCTTGTGAACTACAATCATCTTATGCCAACTCGCTATAGTGTTCCAGAAGTGAGTTTAGAGAGCAAATATGGTGTTAAAGACCTGAAAGATCCAATGAAACGAAAGAAGGCTCGTTTCCAGATCCGTATGCGCTTCGAGGACAGATACAAGAGCGGAAAGAATAAATGGTTTTTCCAGAAGCTTCGTTTCTAAGTGAATGTTTTTTGACTCGATAATTTTAAATGTTCACGACCGAAAATTAAATGAATAAAAAATTTTCTGGGAAATTATAATTGTTTTTGAAAAATGTTTCCTTTCAGGAAATTTCTTCATTTTTACCATAATCTGAAAAGTAAATTTGTAGAGAAAGATAAACAAACGAATTTACAATGAAAATTCCAAACACATTTTTCTGTATTTTATTAATTGGATTAGGTTTTTATGAGTTAAAAATATGAATTTCTAGTTAAATCAAAACTTCTATTATTTGATAGCATTTGTGTTGAATTAGGTACATAGAATTAAAATATTAACTTTATGATCCTCTGTTTAATAATTTTAGAAAACAGATTCATTCTAATAGAAAGTATTGGAGACAGGTTTGTTGTATTTTAAGAAAAAAATGTGATTTTGTGTTTGAAAAGAATTTTCCAGAAATTTTCTTGTGTTTTGTGTGGTTTAAAAAATATCCTTAAAGAAAACCCGGTAACTGGTATAAAACACTTAAATGACTCAATCCTTGACACAATCTATGTTTTTAGCTTGATATAAGAATATTATTGAACTAAATGTGAAATGATTTCAAAATTTTGTTTCATCAACGAAAAAGCAATCTGAAATCTACTTGCAAAGCATCTTTCTTGATTTACATGTAAAGAAATTAGTTGGTTTCTTTTATAATTGATTTCAAGAAATTAATTTTACTCTGTGTAAATCAATTAGATATGGTAATTGTAAATTACTGTTAATTTCAATTTTAGGATGAAAACTTTTAAATAATTTCATAACTTGCAGTCTATTTGAAGACAACAAAACACTCACTCGTCTCAATTTTTCATTGTTAATCTGAACTATAAAAAGTCCAAACAATCCAGTCGTCAAATTTATATTCTTCAATTAAAAGGAAGATATCAGAACATGCCAACCCTACTGCTTATTTTAATAATTACATAATTATTCTTTTTTGAATTTTAGTTGTTTATAAATATGACACAATATTGTTTTTGGCTTTAAATCTGAACAAATTTGATTATCTATAAGAATGTAAAATTTAAAAGAAAAGTTAAAAAAAATTATCACAAAATTAAATGCAAAAAGAAGATTTAAATATTTTATATTCAAAATATGTAAAATTTGTTCTCGAAGTTCGTAAGAATTGATTTTTTTTAGAAAATAGTAAAAATAAAAGTTTCAAGTTCCAAATGAATTTTTTTTTCATCTGTTAGTTATTTAAGATAAATAAAACATTATTTTTAATTTCATTAATAAAAGCACTGAAACAAAACCAGACTACGGTAATTTGGATACAGTTTCCAAATAAACATAATCACTGGTAATTGGAAATTTTTAATTCTACTTTTAATAATATCTGTTATTTGATTCTCAAGTTATGATATTTAGTTAAATCGAAAATTCGCACAACTTCAATGAACGATACACTGAAATTTTCCTTAAACAGTTTCCAAATGATTATGCTCAAAGCCAGCATTAAATGAAAGCACAAAGAAAATATTTTATATCCAATGGAGCGAAGTTTTTCATCAAAAAGTTTTATGTTAAATAAAAGGAAATGGAAATCCATGTAGAAATTTATTCTAAGAAAACTTTTAATGTTGCTATTTTGGCACAATGGCAGCAGTTAGCGCTTATAATCTGATAAATAGGACAAATAGACTAAAAGAGTCGAGTGAAATGAAGTTTTTAAGTTACTGAATTCAACGTAAACTGTTTAAGAAAAATCCCAGTGCTTATTTATAAAAAGAAACCACTAGATACACAAAGCGTTATTCTTGTTACATTAAATACAAAAATTTGTTTTTTGAATTCGTCTCTTACATATTTAGATATTATCATTTCTGTCATTTTCTACTTTCAATCGGTATAAAATACTTCAAATAACTTTTTAAATAAGCCATACTTTAAAATGGAAACATCCTAAACAATTTTTATCATTCAAAATTTCTTTTCCTTGTAACTTGTGGTTATTTTATAGTTTAATTTTGACTGTATTGTGGAATTTATAATCATAAATGTCTTTCCACAAATCTATCTAGATATAAGCAGATATTCGGTGATCACAAACATAAAAAAGACAATGTTTTATTTTCAACTTCTCCAAAAGTTTCTTATTCTAGCAACGGCATACTAAATGTCAATCAAAAACGCATACAAATTGTACAGTGAACAAAATGCAAACATTTTCTGGTTTCTTGTGATTGAATTAATTTTGAATACATAAACGAATTAAAGGAATTTATATGATTATTATTGACTTCTACTAAAAGCTTTGTTTATATTTATATAGCCTAAGTTAAGAGTTATTTGATATTTTTTTAATTTTAGTAATCAAATAAGCAAGAAAATGAGTAAGAAACTTGTTAATTATATTATACCTTTTAATGTATGAATGAATGTATATTTCAATATTATTATTTAGACAATCTAACATCAATCAGAAAATTTTACGACACTCTTATAGTTAGATTACTTTTAAAAAGAATTCGTTAATGAATAAATTTGGAATATGTTGGCTCTATTGGCTCTAATCAAATATTCAGATTCAGATAGTGAGTTAAAAAATCATTAAAGAACCATTATGTTCTTGATACTTAAACCTGACATTGCCACAATATTGTTGGCTGAGTATCTTGTCCTGGCTGAGCAGGTTGAGCTTGTTGATTTTGAGGTGGTTGTTGTTGTTGCTGTTGTGGCTGCTGTTGTTGTTTATTTGGCCCTGGTGAAACTGGCGTTGATTTAATTTCTAAAAATTAAATTTTAGTATTTAAATTTTGAATAAAAACTCAAAACCTGTTTTACCATAATTTCCTCGTGGCCCACCACCATCTCGATCGCATTCGGCTTCTGAAATTTCATTACTTTCTTTTGAGTCATTAAACGACGAGTTGCTTGTTTCATGATTTCTTGGAGGTGGAGGAGGAGGGGGAGAACACTTTTCATTCTTCATGGATCCTATGCTTCGACGTCCAATAGAACCACGAGAATCGTAATGTTCATATGCTGTTCCATAAGGACCTTTTGAATGATGGTATTAATAATAATAAAAAGAAAATTTTACTCATTTCTTTGTTATACATTTGAAAATTTCCATTTACAGTTCCTAACTTTCTTAAACTTACCACCATATTGATCTTCTTCAGCACAATTAGCAGGATCATCATAAAGACCTTACAAAAAAATCAGTTTATAATTTATTTGATTTTATGTTTTCTTAATAAGCTTACCTCCATCGGTTTTGGAATGACATCTATCATCATACTCTGGACCATAATAGAGTGAGCCTCCACCAATTGAGGGATTAAATTGGTTGCAGCGACGATATTGATCACTTTCGGCTTCATAATTTGATGGATCATCATATTCAGGTGCCGGAGAGTAAATGGAACTTTGTCCTCCTTGACTGTTTTTTCGAGCAAAGCGATTACCTCTAGGCTAAATTTCAACGATAAAAAAATATAAATTTGTTTTAAGTAAAATTAAATTTCATTCTTAAAATATTGAAATATTAATCAATGTGCAATAAAGATTACATCCACAATATTTTCCCTCTCCTTGCCCGAAACAATCAATACTACCTAATACTTTTAATTAATCTCACCATTGACTGCGATCCATTGCGGGAGTGCAAATGTGCTGTAATAAAGAAATATTTTGTTGAAATATTTAATTCAGAAAGATTCTACATATATATTTTGTAATCCATATTAAGACAAATTATGTATAAATGATTAAAATCAAACTTCTTCTTATAATTTACCTGGCATTGGTACCGGTCCATTTGGTCCCATTGTTCCAACATGAGCTCCATTTTGATGTGGGAAAGTTTGGAAATTCAATGCTTTGGTTGGATCCATTTCCTCACGGAAACCGAGCAAATGGAATGTTGCATAAGGACAAATTTCATCTTCAACGCCTACAAAGAAAAAAGCAAGTTTAATAATTATGTAAATCAAATGAATAAAGAAATAAAGCTTAATTTTAATGTCTTTGGGTAATCACAATTATGAAATTGGTATAAAAGAAAAGATTATTGAAACAGCAATTAAGAGAAATTCTTTTATAAAACACTTACCTTATGTTTTTAACTTTAGATTAATGTTAGATAATGCAACTTTGAACTGACTTATATTTAAGTATGTAATTCATGAAACAATAAAAAAACTTTAATTTCTAACCTGTGTGCGAATGAAAATAATCTTGCCGATAATGTTTTGGTATAGGCGGTGGCGAACATTGCTTCAATTCTTCATAGATTGGACGTCTAAAGTCCCAAGTCGAGTTATGATTACCAATACGACCTTCTTTACAAAAATAAATTTGATCAGGCATTGAAATAATATCATAAAAATATAAACTAAATAGGTAAGTAGCTTGAAATGATATTGAGTACTTCAGTACAATGTTTAAGAAGGAATAATATTATGGAAAAAATATTTTAAAAAATTTATAAACTCAACATCGCAAAATTGTACTCGTGCACAATATTAACATATTTGTATTATAGTTTCATCTGAATATTGGAATGGTTTATCAAAAATGTTGTTCAATAATGAAATTCCATTTAATCTTAAGTCTAAGACTTTGAAAATTTTTGAATTTGTTTCTTGATTATGTTACTTATTCAGATCCAACTTTAACTTATTAAATTAATAGAATAAGATGAGCGTAAACATTTAAAGGGAGCAAATCTAAATTGATGAGTGAAAATTTAATTATTTTTTGTCAAGTTACTTATAACAGTTCCACGTTTCATTCCATGCTGAAGAGTGTTGTAACTGGTTCCTGGAACCGGTGGAAGTTTACGATTTGGTGGAGCAATATAACCAAGCTCATCACGAAGATCACGTCGTTTGTCCAAAGTAGCGGCACCTCCTGGCCCTCCCAGAGCTTGATTGTACACAACATCATCTGATAAAAGAAAATAATATAATTGAAAAGTCAAACAAAACTAAAAGAATTGAAAGTTTTCGTAGAGAGTATTAGATATGACACATAGATAAATTTATTTAAAGCTTCCTCCATCTTCCTTAACATACAGTAAACATCTTTGGAGTTTCGAGAGGAATCTGGACCGCGTCTTCTGTTGTATGCGACGCATATGACCAATATTCCTACAGCAAGCACAATGACGGTTGTAATGAATGGAACTACAACATTCAAGTTTAGCCAGCTTGGTATCCAAGGAATCTTTGAGTAAACACCGGGATAGTTTCCATCCACAGGAGCAATTGTTGCTAAAGTTGTGGGAGAAAAAAATAGTTAATTTCAGGTTTTTTTTCTACCAACCTTTCTCGTGGTGGCCCTTGCTTCTTAGAATGCAAAGCACAATTATTGCAATAATTACAACAAGAATGGCTGCTACGAAAGGAACTACTAAATTTAGGTTTGCCAAGATGATCCGCAACGCATCTTCTGCAGTTAGTTCGGGGATTCCATTTGATGGTGCAATTGTCCCTGAAACAACCAGACAAAATTTAAACGTGTAATGAGAATGCTACGAGTCAAAGTCAGTGATGATGTTAATTAAAGAAGAATATAAAAGATTTCTTCATGATTTTCATATGTACATATATGATACCTATTTCTTTGCTTGTTTATATTTTAAATTCATTAAATTCATTATAATTTTTTACTGCTCCTGTTAATATGTTTCATTATGAAGAAATAAAAAATATTGACATTTTGACTCACGAACAGTTTAAAGAAATTAAAGGTAAAAAAGAAATGGTTGTTTCAGAGACGTTTTTAAGCACCGAGAAACTTTATTGAAAAGGACTGCATTTTGTAACTGAGTTTTGAAATTAATTTTTACATATAAAAATTATAATTTGTTAAATGAAAATATAATTATTGTGCATCACACTTCGAGTCTTGATTCTCGAGCGACCAAATTATAAATTGAAATGAAACATTTTTGTACATTAAAAATTATCTTCACATATGAATAAAAAATAAAAAAAATGACAAAATTGATCTAACTTTTACTGATATCGGTGCGCAGACTAACAAATAATAAAATTTATTGTAATTTAGTTCACTCACATAAAAAGAATAAGAAGCAAAATTTCTTAATTTCAAACATCACATTGAAAAAAGCATAAAACAATTAAATCAAAGACCGATAATAAAATTTCCTTATGAACTTAAAATCATTAGTTCGGAAATATTTTCAAAAAGCTTAGGTTTAAAAAATAATTTCTATAATTAAAACCAATTTTGAAAAGATGTTTTAAAAATTAATCATCTTGCTACTCCTACAACATAAATAATAATAAAATTGTTTTATAATTATAGCATGCTACGAATTGTGTTTAATACTTATTTGTGATAAAACTCTTACCTCCATCTGATTTTAATGTCGCAAATTCATATTCAGCAACTGTAAAGCCTGCATTGTTATGTGCGGTCACTCTCAACATATACCAAGATGCAGCTTCAAGATCGAGGACAACAAAGTTGCCGCCAGGTTTAACATTATTTGAAATTTGATTCCATTCGGATTGATCCCTGAGAGGAATTCATTTAAATTAATTAAATATTTAATGCAAATCGATCTTAAATAGAAAAATTACTTTTTGCGATGTTCAACCACGAAATGACTCATGCGGCAACCTCCGTCTTTCCATGTTGGTAAATGGAGTGTGACTGAACTGGGAGATACTTGAATAAATCTCGATTTTTCTGGCAAAATTGGTTTTGATCCTTTGGTTCGAAGATTCAAGATATCCGATTGTTCTCCAGCTCCGATATTGTTGTAAGCTGTTGCATAAACCTGATATCTTGATCCACAGTACAAGTTTTCAATCGTGTGCTTTTGAGCTTCAACTGCTACGTCAGCAGTTTCCCATTCACCAAATTCGGGCTTGTAGTACAATGTATAACCATGTAATGGAGCTGAATCTACTTCATTTTTCTTCAACTTAACAGTAATTGAGTCAGTTGTTGTTGCTCCTACCATAACTTGTGGAGACATTGGTGGAGCTAGAAGATGTTCCATTATAAATTATAATTATTTATTAGTGACTCTTTCACACTTACCTAAAATGACTAATTTGTGAGTGATTGAATCCTTTGCAATAGAGTTTTCAGCTGTGCAAGTATATTCACCAGCATCTTGTCTGATTACTTCTCGAATGTAAAGTGACCCCTCTGGTAATTGTCGAATTCTATCATTTGGCTGAAAATCGACTCCTTTGATTCGCCATGAAATATCTGGTGTTGGGGATCCGACAGCCAAGCAAGGCAATTTTGCATCTTCCTTAAATGTCGCTGTAAATGTGTCATCAAACGAAGCAATTTTCGCTGGAACTTTTTCATTTGGAGTTGCACTTATACGTTCAGATACTTGTCCTTCGCCAATTTGTGTTATTGCCGATACCCAAAATTCGTAAGGGTTTTGAGTCAAACCTGAAGCTTCATAGCTCATTTGATTAGCTGGGATTTCAAATTCCTTATTTTCCTTTTCAGCTCTTGATTTCATGTATACTTTGTATTTGGTAATGATACCGTTTGGTTGCGCTGGTGGTCTCCATGATACCAAAATTGCTTCATTTGACATGACTAAAGCTTTTACGGCTGTTGGAGCTTCGGGTGTATCTTGATCTGTTTGACAATGTATCGGAGCACTACGAACGCCATCACCGCCATTAGTTGTAGCAAGCACTTGAATCGTATAGTTTGTATATTTTTTTAAACCATGAAGAACTGTGTCACTTGATGAAGTCTTTTTATAATCTTTGCTTTTATCATCAAACCAAATATCTGATGGTGCGTATACAACTTTGTATCCTTTAATTACGCCATTTGCTGATTCTAAAGGAGGCGACACCCAAGATACTCTTATTGTTTGACTTGTCAATGTTGTACAAGATGTATCGCTTGGCGGTTGATCTGGAATTCCTTCTGCTGTGTATTGCTTTTCTTCGTCACTTAATGGACCAGCTCCAAGTTTGTTAAATGCCTGAATTACAAAAGAATATTGAGTATATGTCTTCAGGTTAGTAATTTCTAGTGATTGTTCTTTAGTGTCTCCTGAGTCTGGCTTGAAAGTTACAGTCTCAAAGATGTACGATGAATTTGATGAGGTTTGTTTATATCCAACATAATATCCTTGAATGTCACCATTCCAATCACCACGTAGTGGAGGCTTCCAACGAATTTTCAGTGCTGTTTGGCTTATTGGATCTATGGCAATTGATTGCGGCTTTCCACTAGGTATTTCTTCGGCTGTAATGATGGTAACGACATCTGAAGAGTCTGACACGCCTATGTCATTTTCTGCAACAATTCTGATGTTGTATGTTGTAGCTGGTACGAGCTTCTGAACTTGTGCTTCTGTCGTATCGCCTGGAACAATAACTCGATCAATATCCGCATCCCATGTACCTCTGGATCGCTTGAATTCAATTATGTATCGCTTCAAAGGAGAATGCCCATCATAAGGTTTATTCCAGCTTAATTGAATAGAACGTCCAGATTTATCGAGAACTTTCATTCCATATGGCATTTCAGGAATCTCTTGTATAATCATATTAATGCTAGTATCATCACTTCCAAAGGCATTTGTAGCCACACACGTGAATAATGCAGTGTCAGCTCTTTCAGTACGTTTGATAGATAAACTTGACATTACACCATTTGGCAGAATTTCTTCCCGAATTGTAAAGCGTGGATCTGATTTCGAATCCAAACGGATGTTGTCCATATTCCATAGAATTCCAATGGGTTTTTCTCCTTTAGCTTCACATTGAAGAACAGCAGGTTCTCCACGCCTTGCAGTTTGATTTCTCAACTTTTCAGTGAATTCAGGAGGTGCTTGAACATTAACCAGAATAACTGCTGAAAGCCCTGATCCAATACCATTAGTAGCTTCACAAAGATAGTATCCTTCGTTATTTTTTTGGATGTTTTCTATTATTAAGTTTCCATCCTCAATACGAACGGATGAATCGTTTTTCCTTAAATCCTTGTATTCGCCGGGTTTGTCACCTAATATAAGATAATATAACATAAGAATTCATAAATTATTTAAATATTACACGCTTAATTATTCAAATCTTACCAACAGCCATTTTCCATGATACTTGTGGCTTCGGGAAACCATCAGCTTTACATTCAACCTTTGCATTTGAGCCTTGTGCAAATGCTTTGTCAGTTGGTTCAAGAATCCAACGAGGTGGTACTGTTTATAGTTTTGATATGAAAAATATTAGAATGCGAAACAGGACAGTTTGAAAGGCATGCAAAATCATAAGTCTAATATATATGCTTTCTATAGGAAAGGAAAGGAATCGAAAAAAGGTTAAAATCATAAAAAAAGTCAATTTGAGTCACTAAAAGATAAGTTCATTTCTTAATTGTAGGGAACTTTCTTTACTTTTTGTGATTCACATGCAAAGTTTTAAATCGCTACTGGAATCAATAATAAGTATAAAAATGATTTGAATTTATTTTTCGGCGCGTAAATATAATAAATAATAAGTATAATAAATAGTATCAGTACTGAAGGAAACGTTCTGATGATGACAGCATTGCTGTCGAAATAATTATTAAGTAAGTTAAATGTTATGTAAAAAGTTTAAAAGTGTTTTCGCGTTCTCTACTCGTTATTTGTTTTAATTAGTATAAAAATAGTTGGAAAATTGCATGAGAATATAATTCCAGGAAAGATTTAATATATTTTTTCAAGAAATCGGCATGTTTCTAAAATTATTTTTAATTCAATAGAAATTTAAAATAGTTTTCCGTTGCAAAATTGATGGAAACGATTTAATTTTTCTATTCAAAATAGTTTTAGCAACAAAAAAATATCTTCTCAGCATATTCTTTCAATATTGATAAAAATTTTCTGAATTTTTACATTTAATCATTTTTCAATTAAATAAATCAATGAATAAACTGCTAAGATTTTTTTTATATTATAAAAGGGAAAGGAATAACTACATAGCTTCTTCAGAATTTTGCAATTTGTTTCCCCTTTCAATTGTGGAATCTGTTTTTTGATTTCAAAATAAAAGTTCAACTCAACATCATTGTCCATTTTCTAAAGGGAGTCAGAATTCTCATCGATGAATATCTACATTTTTTTTTACATTAACTCTTTCCTATGTGGAAATCAAATATGTCTCCTTCATTTTCAAGCTTAATAAGTAGTTTAGCCAAAGTCTACGTATGAATATTTCGTAATATATAGACATATAATATAAAATATACATATAGGTGTGAACAGTATGTTAAGCTTAGAAACATATCAAGTACATAGATTATACATAACGCATAATATCACTAGAAAAGCTTTTAATTGAGAGCATGCAAAAAAAGCATAACTTCTTGCTAGCCCTTTAAAGACTGTGATAAATATAATATTATATATTAATATACTTTTGTTAGAAAAGTGGTCACTTGAAAGTTACTTTTTTAATCCCATTATAATATACTCATTGAAAGTTTATGAATTTGGTTCAAAATGGAAAAAAAAAACTAAAATAGGTAATTCATAGTCAAGTAATTTAAATGAAGGAACTTTCTTTTAATGAGATTTCACTTGATATTTATTACACAATTCATCAGTTGAATACTTCTCTGTTAATTTTTACTTCTTAAGATCCTCTGTATATTGCTTTAAATGAATATTAGACAACTCATGATAAGACTCAAAGTCATTACAAAACTTATATTTGTTGAATGCATTAAAACAGGGATTGGAATTGATCTTTACAGGCAACTTAACAACAAACATAGGAATGTTTCTATCTAGACATTTTTGAAGTGTGCCTGTAGACACAAACTTAAAGTAATTTATTATTACGGAGTGGAAACCCAGTACTTAACGTTTAAGAATAAACTGATGGAATTATATTTAACCATGCAAATGATTCTTTACTTCAGGGAAAATTAAGAGTTTTGAATGATGTTAAACAAATCAGATTTTTGTCAAATTGATCTTTGATTAAGGAATCTGCTCCGGAAATGTATGCGACAAACAATTTTTAAACCCCACAAACTGCAAAACTTTGAAAGGATGAGAAAAATAAGGAAGAAGAAATTTCAACCATTGATTGCAAGATATGCGCTATGCTGAACGATTCCTGCTTTATTTTTGGCATAACAAGTATAATTTCCTCTATGTCTTGCTTTCACAGTTTCTATGTTGAGAAATGACAGTTTATTTCCATTTTGGGAAACGAATATCCCATCACTCGAGCTAAGATTGTATTCATGAGGTGAATCAATACTTTCTGACAAAGTCCACCAAATAGAAATCGGCAAATCTCCCTTACTAATTGAACATGTAGCTGTCACGGATTCATCCAAATTAAATTCCTGATCCCCAAAACTAAATGGTACTATTTGTGGTAAAACTATTTAAAAAGAAATTAAATCATTCAATCAACTGCTTGAATAAGGCATTAGATTTTCCAATGGAAAAGGGAAAATTGCAAATTTTTGATTTAATTTATATTTTTAACCGTTTATAGCCAAATATGCAGTATGCTGAACAGTTCCTGCTTTGTTAGCCACAAAACATGAATAATTTCCTCTATGATGTGCCTTGACTGCATCAATGGAAAGCATGCTTGCTTTTTGGGTTGATCTTTTTATTAATAAATCGTTATCAGATGTAAGATTTAACCATACTGGATCTTTATCTTCATTGAATCTCCACCAAATCATAATTGGTAAGTCACCCTTTGATACCGAGCAAAACTGAGTGACTGAATCACCGACATTAATTTCATCTTCTCCAAAAGAAAATGGTACAATTTGAGGAAGAACTGTTAATTGTAAGTAAGATTTTTTTTAGCAAACTTCATTATTCATTTTAATTAAAACATTCTGTTGGTAAAAATTGCAAAATTCATTGTATACATTTTTAATGAGAATCAAAACAAAACTGAACTGTTTATAGCTAAATAAGCTGAATGATTGACAGATCCTCCTTTATTCGAAGCAAAACATGTATAATTTCCTCTATGTCGAGCTTTCACTGCTTCAATCGCTAGCATGCTAACTTTTTGACTTGATCGTGTTATGACAATGCCATCATTTGTGGTTAAGTTATAATTATTAATAGAATCTCCAAATTGCCACCAAATTTTTATTGGTAAATCTCCCTTACTTATGGAGCAAGTAGCAGAAATCGATTCATCAATATTGAACTCTTCTTCTCCAAATGAAAACGGGACAATTGTAGGCAGAACTTAAATAAATAATATTGCATGGATCTTTTTAAAATATGTGATTTCCTTAGAAACAAATTGCAAATAAAAGTAATGTTAATATGCTTCATATATTTTCCACACCATTTATAGCTAAATAAGCTGAGTGAGAAGTAACTCCTCCCTTATTCGAAGCAAAACAGGTATAGTTTCCTCTATGTCGAGCTTTTACTGCTTCAATTGCCAAGGTACTAACTTTTTGACTTGTTCGGGTTATGACAATGCCATCATTTGTGGTTAAATTATAAGTACCCACAGATTCTCCCTCAAATCTCCACCAAATTTTAATCGGTAAATCTCCTTTTGTGATTGAACACAATGAAGATACGGATTCATCTAAATTCAATTCTTCTTCTCCAAATGAAAATGGCGCAATTGTCGGCAGAACTTATGATAAAATTCAAATGTAATGAAAGTATTTTAAAAATTATGATCTATTCAAAACCAAAACTAAGTTTATTTTTAAATGATTTTTTAAGCATTAGAAATATTCTTTTGTTACGGTTAGGTTTAGCACCAATAAACATACGTATTTTTAAATGTTTTTTTATAATTTAAAGCACCTCATATTTACAGAAACAAATTGCAAAATCAAAGATTTGTTTTAGATGTTAAAATTTGATAATTTTCTACACCATTTATAGCTAAATACGCAGAGTGAGAAGTAACTCCTCCCTTGTTCGAGGCGAAACATGTATAATTTCCTCTATGTCGAGCTTTTACTGCTTCAATTGCTAGCATGCTAACTTTCTGGCTTGTTCGTGTTATAACAATCCCATCATTTGTTGTTAAATTATATCCATTCATAAATTCTCCATCAAATTGCCACCATATTTTAATTGGTAAATCCCCCTTTGTTATTGAGCAGACTGAACTAATAGATTCATCAAGATTCAATTCTTCTTCTCCAAACGAAAATGGCACAATTGTCGGAAGAACTAGTAAAATAATGCAATTTAACAATTTAAAAAGAGATTCCAACAAGAAGAAACAAATTGTAAAACATAAAAATGGAAGTATTTCTTATGAAATAATTGGTCGAACCATTGATCGCCAAATAAGCTGAGTGATTAGTGAAGCCTCCTTTATTTGATGCAAAACATGTATAATTCCCTCTGTGTCTAGCTTTCAAAGCTTCAATGACAAGAGTACTTGCTTTCTGACCAGATCTCGTTATAAAAATTCCATCATTTGTTGTTAAATTATAACCACCGGAAATTTCCCCATCAAATCTCCACCAAATATTAATTGGTAAATCGCCCTTTGTAACTGAGCAAACTGCAGAAATTGACTCATCGAGATTCAATTCTTCTTCTCCGAAAGAAAAAGGTACAATTGTTGGTATAACTTGAATTACATAAGGACAAAATATTCGTTGAGATTCAAAATTATTAGTAACACTATTATAAAACAGCGTCAACAATTAAAAAATTTAAATAAGGAAACAAATTGCTCAGAAAAATTTGATAAAGTAATTTATGTGAACCGTTAATGGCGAGGTAAGTTGAATGATGAGTGAATCCTCCCTTATTGGAAGCAAAACATGTATAATTTCCCCGATGTCTCGCTTTCACTGCTTCAATAGATAAAGTACTGATTTTTTGATTTGTTCGAGTTATAACAATCCCATCATTTGTCGTTAAATTGTAAATTCCAATTGGATCATTGGCACCAAATTGCCACCAAATTTTAATAGGCAAATCGCCCTTGGTTATTGAGCAAGTAGCAGAAATAGATTCATCAATGTTCAATTCTTCTTCTCCAAATGAAAACGGGACAATTGTAGGCAGAACTTATTTGAAACAAATAAATCATATTTTATTTAAAAAATAAAACAAATTGCAACGTCTTAATTTTATAATAAGAACAATCATATATTATGTTAAAACTTTTATGATCGGACCATTTATAGCAAGATATGCTGAATGATTTGTGAAACCCCCATTGTTTGACGCGAAACAAGTATAATTTCCTCTGTGTCTAGCTTTGACAGCTTCAATAACAAGAGTGCTAGCTTTTTGCCCGGTTCTCATTAAAACAATCCCGTCGCCTGTTGTTAAGTTGTATGTGTGACCCTGATCGCCATCAAAATGCCACCAGATGTTTATTGGAATGTCTCCTTTAGTAATTGAACACGAAACTATGACAGATTCATCGAGATTCAATTCTTCTTCGCCGAACGAAAACGGAACAATCGTTGGTATGACTTAAATTATATAAGAAATTGGTGAATTTCAATAACCTACTACTGATTATCTTGACGAAAGAAGGAATTGTTAACTATTAAGATTTTATTCATGTCTTTACCAATTGTCAGGAAACAAATTGCAAAGATAGAACTTCAAAAAATGTTTTATAAGAACCATTAATAGCGAGATATGTTGAATGATTTGAGTATCCTCCTCTATTAGAAGCAAAACATGTATAATTCCCGCTATGTCGAGCTTTCACTGCTTCAATTACAAGTGCACTAACTTTTTGACTCATTCGAGTTATAACAATACCATCATTTGTAGTTAAATTGTAAGTGCCGACTAGAGCACTACTAAATTGCCACCAAATTTTAATTGGTAAATCGCCTTTAGTTATAGAACACATAGCGGAGATTGATTCATCAAGATTGAACTCTTCTTCCCCGAAGGAAAATGGCACGATTATAGGTAGAACTTATTTCAAATAAAAGACATAAAAAAGTTATGAAACATTTTGCAACATTTAAAACATTCTGAATTAGAGCAGTGATAAGAGTAGCAGGGAGTAAGATAATAATTAATAATGTTGGACAATTTATATAAATAGACCATTTATAGCAAGATATGCTGTATGATTTGTGAAACCCCCATTGTTTGACGCGATACAAGTATAATTTCCTCTGTGTCTAGCTTTGACAGCTTCAATAACAAGAGTGCTAGCTTTTTGTCCGGTTCTCATTAAAACAATCCCGTCGCTTGTTGTTAAGTTGTAAGTATGACCCTGATCGCCATCAAAACGCCACCAAATGTTCATTGGGACGTCTCCTTTACTTACTGCACACGAAGCTATGATTGATTCGTCGAGATTCAATTCTTCTTCTCCAAACGAAAATGGCACAATTGTCGGAAGAACTAGTAAAATAATGCAATTTAATGGTTTAAAAGGACATTCCAACAAGAAGAAACAAATTGTAAAACATAAAAATGGAAGTATTTCTTATGAAATAATTGGTCGAACCATTGATCGCCAAATAAGCTGAGTGATTAGTGAAGCCTCCTTTATTTGATGCAAAACATGTATAATTCCCTCTGTGTCTAGCTTTCAAAGCTTCAATGACAAGAGTATTTGCTTTCTGACCAGATCTCGTTATAAAAATTCCATCATTTGTTGTTAAATTATAACCACCGGAAATTTCCCCATCAAATCTCCACCAAATATTAATTGGTAAATCGCCCTTTGTAACTGAACATGTTGCAGAAACTGATTCA